TATTTATTTATTATTTAAATTTATATACCGCCCTATCTCCCTTACGGGACTCAGGGCGGTGAACAGGCAATAATAAAAATCACAATAAATATTGAATAAAAAGCCTGCTCTAAAATACCCCATATAAAACCCCTAGCAAAGCCCAATCAAAACTACGCCAGGCCAGCCGCATGGAATAGATGGGTTTTCAAGGCTCGGCAGAAGAGGCGCAGGTCCGTAGTTGTACGTAGGTCGGGGGGTAGGTCATTCCAGAGGGCAGGAGCTGCCACAGAGAAGGCTCTCCCCCTGGGGGTCGCCAGCCGGCATTGACTGGCCGACAGCACCCTAAGGAGGCCCTCTCTGTGGGAGCGGACTGGTCAAAAAGAGATATTTGATTAACAAATCATGGTTAAAATTATGGTAGAAAAAAGAAAGCTCACTAGATAACCTCTGAGATCCTTCCACTATTAAACCATCATTAAACCATCATTAGATGGCCACCACTTGTCCTTTGAGGTAGGTCAGGTGAGGGAAAAAAAACATTGGAAGAATCCAGGAGTGCTACTTTATCATTGCAAAGGAGTGTTTCTCAACTTTGTCAACTTTAAGATGGGTAGACTTCAACGCCCAGAATTCCCCAGCCAGCAGGTATGGAAGAATGCTGGCATAATGGCAGGAGAAATTCTGGGCGTTGAAGTCCACCCACTTTAAAGTGCCAAGGTTGAAAAATCCTGTTGTAGAATATAATCACAGAATCTTGAAAGCCCTTGCCATTTCTTATATGAAAACACAATCACAGTGGGGTTATTATTCTAAGTCCCCTTCTCGTGTCTCCCCTTTTCCCAGGACTCAGTTGCGTTTCATTTTTTTTCCCTTGAGGGCTCCTACGGTATCTATTTTCATCAAGGTGTTCTCCACCTATCCCATTCTGTGTGTGTGATTGTGTATCAGCAAAACTAAAGAAAATGAAACAGAGGGCAAGCCTTGAGTCATTCATCTCCTGACTAACCAGGAGCTTTGCCGAATCAGGCAGGTAAACATTCAGATGGACTTTGCCACAAGGAAGCAATTACTGATTACCTCTATAATTACCATTCTCTTTTTCCATTGGCATGTAAGCACTTTCCACTGAATTGAGGCTACACTGGGTTTTGCATGATGAGATGTATTAGAAATGTGGGGAGAGACAGGATTCTGGTGGTTTTTATGAGGTAAAATGGGCCTTAAGGCTTGACCAGAAGGGTCAAATGAGCCTGAAGGTTTGAATTAAGCTGCCCAGTGTCACTTTAGATAGTGAGATGGGTGGCATATAAATTTAATAAACAAACCAACAAACAAATATAATCCCCTGACTCTAAAAATGCAAAAAAGGGGTGGCTGAGTGTGGAATAGTTGATCCTATCTACCCTAGGTAGGTTCCAAGGCCCACAGAATACAGGTAGTCCTTGACTTACAACAGTTCATTTAGTGACCGTTCAAAGTTGCAACAGCACTGGAAAAAGTGACTTTTGACTGTTTTTTTACATTTATAGCCATTGCAGCATCCCCATGCTCATGTGATCAAAATTTAGATGCTTGGCAACTGCCTCATATTTATGACGGTTGCAGTGTCCCGGAATCACATGATTACCTTTTGTGACCTTCTGACAAAGGAAGTCAATGGGGAAGCAAGATTCACTTAAACTACCATGTGGCTAACTTAACAACTGAGGTGATTCCCTTAACAACTGTGGCAAGAAAGGTCGTAAAATGAGGCAAAACTCACTTTATTTATTTATTTATTTATTTATTTATTTATTTATTTATTTATTTATTTATTTATTTATTTATTTATTTATTTATTTATTTATTTATTGATTGATTGATTGATTGATTGATTGATTGATTGTATTTTCTACCCCGCCCTTCTCCCTGCGGACTCAGGGCGGCTTACAACCATTTAAAAACAAATACTTGAATACAGAAATACAAAATTTAAAATATTAATTAAAATGAAATATTATTCTAAGGCCGAAAATTCAAAAAATTTCTTTTAAACCAAATTAAAATAACCCTTAGGCCAGTCCTGCTAACTTAAATAGCCATGTCTT